TTCTTACAGCTCTCTTCGGCTCGATTTTTCGGTCTCGGCGAGCGTCACAACATGAAATAAAGCTCACAGGGAGCCCATGATTGGTCAGGATTTCAAGACGTTTAAAGTTTCAGAGCAGATAGTAATTAACTTCTTATTGATGCCTCAGCCAGGAATCGGAACACTGACATTGTCGCACGCACTGTCTTTGAATATCTCTTGCTCACGCCCTATTCTGTTCAGAGGATATTCTGAAGTTATTATCATTAGCCGCACATTTTACTGTACTTATGTGGCATATATGCATTCAAAAGTAACACAAACTATTAATTTCATTTAAGACAAAAGAGAACTATCCCGCATGTCAATGATGAACAACAATAATCTTGCAAAAATCTTCGCCACATTTCTGTGAAAATTTGCTAATTCTCGTGAAAATGAGCTGGGAACCATCATCCACACCATGTTAAATCATCAAAGAAATAGGCAAAACATGTCCTTCATTTTTCAATGTTTACGCTACTATTACTAAGTTTTTGCCCAAAGTAAGATATAGGAAAGACTACAAATTGACTAGAGGTGTTGGTTCCCAAAGCACATTATCATATGGCGAGTGATTTGGCTGTGATAACGTTTGAAAGTTAGGGCCCTAATGGCAGGTCCCTAATTTCCGTGCACAGTCCAGATATATAGTGGTCTATGATATATATATATATATATATATATATATATATATATATATATATATATATATATATATATATATATATATATTATATAATATTATATTTAAGTTAACCCTCGCCCTTATTGGTGTATTGCTAGCCGCGAACAAAGGGGGGGGGGGGCGTTGGACCCCCTTACCGTTTCGCCCCTGATTGAGCCAAAGAGCTTCGCGGAAAAACGAGCGTGTTGCCCATGACGAAAGAAAGCCGATGATACGGGATACCCAATTTTAAGGTCCTAGGTCATTGGTTGACCTTCCAGGTCAGGCCAATGACACAAAAGTCGGGAAAATTGGGACCTATTGGAACGTCGTCAAGTGTAGCTGCTATGGTTTTTTCGGGGTGCTGATCACTAATATCATGTTAGTTTTGATCACAGATGATGTCCTCATGCATTCAGGCCAGGTCGGGTCAGGTCAGGTCAGGTCAACCAGTAGCTGTTTTGCCGGGTATTTGTAGTTGGTGTCAACCGCCTCTGACAGCTTCGTAACATGTTACGAAGGCACCAAAACTACTTCGGTAATGTTCAAATTGCTGCTAAATTAGAATTCAGCTCCAAAAACTAGCCTAGGAACATGTAAAACTCGAAAAAGTAAACCGAGGTCATCAAAGGTCAGTGACGTGACCTGACCTTCAGGTGACCTTGACACCCACCCTAGTGCATGAGAGCGACATCATATCCTATGTTTGAACGCTTGAAACCGCGAAAAGACTGCAAACGCGCGACTAATGCGAGCCGACATACGCCGAATCGCGATTCCGACCAAACATGGTCTCGAAAAGTAGGTCATAGGGTAAAGGTCATTAGGGTCAGGGTCATGAAATTTTCAGGGTACGTGTAAAATTGATTAATCCGGGAGAAATGAAAGTTTCGTCGTGATCGGCCGCTTGTTACGCGAGTTATTTGCGACCCCCCCCCCCCCCCCCACCTACGGGCGAGGGTCAATATTTATAAATATATGTCGTGGGCTAGGCATTGTATCCTAATCGGGCGCCAGAGACCGGACCTGCACGACAAGTTGCGCTTAGCGTGAGTTCTGACTCAGGAAAGCCGTCCATGCAATATGTTTGGACCATTTAAGATAAAATTTGCAGACTTTCCAATCTTCAGTCATACCTAGATAAAAAGATTGCACCTCGTATCGGTAACGCCAGAGCGATACAAAGCTTGACAAGGGACAAGGGCAAGAAAATTAACACTTCGTGGTAGACCATACTCGGAGACTTTGTGACATAACCTCGTACCTGAATGCATTATTCTTTCAATTTCCTACTATTATGCTCTTCGGGGCTACTGATGATATCAAATTTCACGAAGTGATTTTTCGATTGACTGCCAACTGAGACCATTTCCGTGTTTTTTTTCCTGTCTGACGTTATCGGTCCCCTTCCGCGTTTCTTTTTTTTTGCGATTATCGCAGCGATGATACTGTTATGTCTGATTAACCCGGCAGTTGCTGGGGTATTTCGCCACCCACCGTTTGCTGGGGGGAGGGGGGGGGCGTTAAACGCCCCCAGCCGATAACTCGAGAACCAATAGGCGCAGCGAAACGCACGAGGCGGCAAACGAAAGAACGCGACGAGACGCTTCAGATGAGTACTTTAAAGTTGAATTTTGAGGTCACAGGTCAGGTCAAGGTCAGGTCAAACACCTGAAATCGGTCTTTCAGTAGCATGGACTTCAGGACTTCGCAAAGGGCGCCTCTCGTCATAAACTCTGTCAAAACGGTGCACAATCCATCATATAAGGCCTACAAGAGTGTCAGCTCCATGTAGGGGTCAGTCAAGCATAGGTCAGAGTCAAGGTCAGGTCAACCGGGCAGGCACATATCCCCGAAAATCAAAACTGATATTCGCAGCCTGTGACAGATGTTTTATGGGTAATTTGGGGCGTAGAACACGATGGTGACATTCATTTTACCATATGTGTACGTGTTTGGCTAAAAAAGTTCAATTTAAGAAATACATGTATCATGGTCGTGAAGTAGTCACGAGAAATTGCCAAGATTCACTTCAAGATTTTGGAAAATGCGGAACGATAATCAACAATCGAAGATAGCCATTTGATTGTTCATGGTATTGGCAGTCTAATGGCGTTTACGGCATGTCTGTATGTCTATTCTGTGATTTTATATGATTTTTTGAACATATGCCGTTTTTGGTCGAAAACTCAGAAATCATGACGTCACTCAAACCTCGATATCTAAAAAATTTTTCGGCCGATTTTTTTGAAACTTTGTCACAATAAACTTCAATTAATTCCCTACAGGTACCCAAAATTTGGCGCGCCTGCGGCGCGCCGTTTTTATGCTATGGCCCGGCGAAAAAAGTGGGGGCGTTTAACGCCCCCCCCCCCAGCAACTCGCGGGTTAATTTTTGCGCGTTTTATACCGAGTAATTATTACATGGATGTATTGAAAGGCATTTTCTTGGTAAGTATCCGTTTTGTATTGGTTATTTTTGTCAATATCAGGTCTGGTTCTGTCATCCTTTGTTCCGTCCTTTTCCTCAATATATGATATTTATCTTGGAGCTATTGCAAAATGCAATTTGTAAATTGTTAGCATTGCTCATTCCAAAATTTTTGTCTTCACCTGCCATTAACCAAAACTTGCCTACTAACTTGCTTTCCTCAATTTTGTCCTTCAGATAAAATTTGGATTTAAACATTTACCTAGTATACCTATAGGCATTAGTTTTGGGACATTGGAATGCTTGCATTTAACTTTTCTAACGCTAGCTGTCAATCTGCATAAAACAATAATCGCCGTTTTTAGGACTACCAATGTTCGCTACAGTCCCCACGGTCATTGAACGACATCTGTCCTTACTACCGTTTCTTTGCTAGGTTTGCCGTCCCAGTGTGCTGGCGCTCGGCGGGGTGTATTATGCCCGCGTTCTATTGCAGCTTCTGCATGGTGTTTTCGGAGCTCCCATTCATGAGTGAGCCGCAGACGGAAGCTCAGCAGCAGCAGCAGCAGCCTGCGCAGCCGTCGGCGGCGTCGCAGCAGGCCGCGCCGCCGGCGCCGTCAGCCCCGGCCGGCAGCGGCCCGCCACCGGCGCTCGTCGGCAACCACAACGGCGCGCGCGACCCGCGCTCGGCGGCCGGCGGTCACCGCGGTGGTGGCGGCGGCGGCTGGCAGGCCGGCCGCGACCCGCGCAACCAGCCGTTCGGCCGCTCGCAGCCGGGCCGCGGCCGCTCCGGCGGCGACCCGAGGACCAAACGGTAGCCGGCCGCGGCGCGGGTGTACTGTGCTGTGTGCAGAACTGAGCCGCCGCCGTGTGCAGGGTTTGGTGGAACAGACGGCAGCGTTATTATGTGTTTGTCGTGGACAGGACAGCGCCGCTGTACTGTATTTCGTTGAGCGAGAATGGACCACGAACTGAGCGATGGAACGGTTTAGACTTTTGACATGCCAACTGTGTGGTCAGCAGGTGGGAAACAAGGATGACATGGCCGAGCTGCGCGCTCATGGTTGACGTGCTAGTGACCTGCCACTCTGTGGCATCCCTCATTTGCTGGCTGTGATGTCCGTCGGCTCTCGTCGTGATAGATTCACGCTGCCGTGGGCGTTAGAGTTAGAGTGAATTAACCACAGCGTTACGGGCTGTTGGCATTCTTCCATTACTATCCACCCAGGTAGTGTAATCACAATGACGGTCGGGCATTGTGCTGTTTCAAGCCACGTAGTGTTGGTGTTGAGACTGCATATTGATAATTGCTTTGTGCCGTACCTCGACAGTGAACAACGAGCGTTCACACCCTGCCAAAACTTGCTACTTCGTTTCCGTTCAATACGATGTTAGTTACTTTCAAACCGTAAAACAGTCGGTTGTTGTGCTTATTGCCCCGGGCTTATGTAGAGTTTGGTGGTAGTTTTCTTTTTTCACTTTTTTCAACATAAAACACGAATCAAAAGATGTGTCCACAAAAGCCTCCAAGAATGTTCACCATCGCTGGTGTTGTAAGGCGCCTGCCTGTATGTCCCCGTGATGCCGTGCATTGTGACGGTGGGTAATGTGTACCGCCTGATATTCATGTGGTTTTAAGACAGGTCACTGTGGGATTTTGCGATCTTATTTTTTCTGGTGCACTGTCAGCATTGCTGTCGCCTGTCATTGATATCGTTTTCATAGAAGTTCGTTAGGCCCTGTGCGTTAGTGCCCCAATAATTTTTTTATGTTCCTTTTGCGGCCGTGTGTCACTAGTTCATCAATATGTCGGAGAAGCTGCTTGTCTTATTGGACGAGATTTCAAAGCCCGCCTTCGGTGAAAATATATGCATTTCGACAAACTATGTTTCTTTGTTGTATGTTTGCGGCGTTGTCACAGAGTTCAGTTCACCCAGATTGTGAGGCATCAGGGCTTGGGGAAACTTGAAACACATTCCAAGCGAATTTTGAATGAACATTAGCAGTTAGCACGACAGTTGGTTATTAACTCCTAACTTTTCATGCGTAAAATTAGCATGCGCAAATGAACTTGTTGTCTACGCTCCCGATAGCGCAACCAATTCACACTCGATACATCATGTAACCGACATTTTCCATTTATTCCACTCGCCGCTCTTGCCACTATTCAAGCCTACCTAATAATGTTTCAAGGCAGGGTTGCCTTTGTATTAGATACGCCACTGTTTTCAGTTTGTTTGTGTTCTAGCATACAAGCACAACCATGAGACCAGCAATAATGCTTATCACGAAGTGCATTTCTCCCTCGGCACTTTCCCTAACGTCTAATGATATTGGGCATCGCAGGTGCGGTTGACCGCGGGTATCGTCCCTGTGCCGGTCACTACAGTTGGAACTGTTCGCCGGTGGAACTATGAGCCGGACCCACCTCCAGTGGGTGTTGAGGCGCCACCGGTTGGAATGGTAGGTTCTAGTTGGCGGCGGGAGTGCGGAACTCGGCCGTGCAGGACTCGGTGCGCCGACGCACCTGCCGCAGCTCCTGCACCTGCTGCCGGTCCAGCTGCAGCGCGTTACGCTGCACCGGCAGCGGCTGGCGGCGCGGACGGACGTCCCGCAGGTCGTCCGCCTTCTTGTCCTGGCTGGCGTCGGTGGGCGGCCGGCGCGCGAACAGCGTCTCCACCTGGTGCAGCTCCAGGCCGCGCGTCTCCGGCAGCAGCAGCGCCGTGAAGGCGGCCAGCGCGGCGCAGCACGCGGCGAACGCCCAGAAGGTGCCGTGCGCGCCCAGCCAGCGCGTCAGGTACGGGAACGCCTGCAGCACGCCGAAGTAGACGGCGCCCCAGACGAGCAGGATGGCGCCGTTAGCCACCGAGCTGACGCTGGCCGGCACCAGCTCCCCCATGGCCATCCAGGTGACGGGGCCGATGCCGAAGTTGGCGGCGGCCATGTAGAGGATGAGGGCGGTGACGGGCACCCAGCCGAGACTGTCGGCCGAGGCCAGCTGGCCGCGCTGCTGCGCCCAGAAGTAGGCCCCCAGCGTGGCCAGGCTGAGCGCCGACATCAGACTGGAGCCGATCAGCAGCGTGCGGCGGCCGAACCGGTCGGCGAACCCGGAGGCCAGCACGTTGGCCGTCAGCCGGGTGACGCCGATGATGACGGCGCACATGTACTCGTCCAGCGAGGTGCCCGCCATCTGGAAAATGGTCACCACGTAGCTGAGCACGGCCAGCATGCCGGACAGGATCTGGAACACGAACAGGCCGGTGACCAGCAGGATGGGCAGCAGCGTCTCGCGGTGTGCCATCTTCCGCAGTACGTCCCGCACGGTCACGCGCTCGCTCTTCTCGGCGCGGCGCGCGGCGGCCTCGATCTCGCGCTCCACTGGGTAGTCGTCGCCCTTGTAGAAGCGTCCCGCCTCGGCGGCCTCGTCGAACTGCAGCTGCGCGGTCAGCCAGCTGGGCGACTCCGGCAGCCAGAGGAAGCCGGCGAAGATCAGCACGTTCGGCAGCACGCCCAGGATGGCGGCCATGTGCGTCCAGTGCACGGCCGAGCCGACGCCGTAGCCGATGAGCACGCCCAGCGAGCAGAGCACCTCGGGCGTGGCCGAGAGCCGGCCCCGCAGCCGCGGCACAGCCACGTCGCAGATGTAGGCCTGGTAGCAGGGCAGCGTGACGGCGTTGAAGAAGCTGACCAGGAGCCTTCCGGCGATGACGAGGCGGACGTCGCTGGCGGCGGCCACCAGGAGCCAGCTGGCGGCCGCCGGCGGGCCGTGCAGCATCATGAGCCGGCGCGGGCCCATGTAGCGCAGCAGCACCGTACTCAGAGAGCAGCCCAGCACGATGCCGGCCGTGGTGATGGACACTGGGGGACACACGGGCGGGCGTCAGCGCGCAGACACCGGCGTCGGGGAGGCGGGCCATCTCCGCTCTGGGCGGGGTGGGGACCGCACACTGAGTGCGGTCGGTCTCTGGTGGGGCCTTCCGCATTCTTTCCTTCAATTTTAGTCGGCTGGGTGAGAGGAGAAGATGTGAGGTGCCGCTTGATTTGGAGGATGGTGTCTTAGGAGGCGCACTTCATATCTCTAGACCTGTTCAAGCGTGGCGTGGGACAGATGGGAGCAGCTTTTGGCGGAAAGGTTGGACCAAGAGACATAGGAAGGCAAAAATAGACGAGAAGCGGATAAAAATATGGATACTTTTCTCAGAATCGCGGTGCTGCTTTAAACGCTTAACAGGAAAGGAATCGAGGGATTCATCGCTCTCATCTCATGACGAAAGACATTTTTTGCAATAACAGTGTAGCCGGTTTACCCCACATATAAATGGACACTGGCGAACTGTTAACATATATTGCGTCGATTTTTATCACGACATGATATTGACATTTCATCACGGCACACATGAGATCACGTTTACATGGCTGAGATGGCTTCGGAAAGATGGAGGATCGATAAGAAATTGCTGAAATCTGTAATATTTATCTAGCGATCTTTTTGCCTTTGACCTATCTTTTGACTTTTAATCATTCACCCTTAAAATTTTGGTTTAATTAGGAAATCAAATATTGTTGCGGTGCATAGGTATCCGCTAATTGACTGCCATCAGCAAATTGGTGGTTTGACGCTGCTGAGCCCTCCGTGGCAGTCTCAGCCTTACCCACTGAAAAAGTTCCCTTCCCACAGATGTCTCAGTCATTTCTTTTTACGAGACTTTGTGATTGACAATGGAACCTACCCTCGAACATTTGAGCACATTCACAAATACAGTAACACAACGTACACATTACACATTACACATTTTACATTGCAAACAACTGGCGCAAGGCCCAAATGCAATCCATGCGATGCTCGCACGAATCTGTGGCCTGCTAAACTAACGCAACTCACAACAGACTTCCGGTGCCGGGCGCCGCTACCGGCTAGGCTGTAAGACAGAGAAAAGCACGCTATGTAACGATGTGCTGCCGGCCGGCACGTGACCGAGAAAAGGCCAACTGAGGGCGGCGGCAGCGCGCCTCCACTGAGCGCGGCGCGGGGCCGACCACCTCGGCAAAACGACTCACACCCTAAATAGCTCCATCAGTCAAGGCATGCAATGACCTGTGTCGATGCAAGGCATGCAATGCATCGTCTAACCTAACTAACACCACGATTGGACGCAATCAATGTGGGAGGCATACGGGTCATATTATGGGATGGGATGTCTGCATGGGTGGTTTTGGGGCAAGTGGGAGGCGTCCTTCTTGTGCATGCACACTTCTCTAACTACCTAGCCTTTCACCTGCAAAACTATCGCCCCTGTAGAAATGACAACACTGTCTGCACTTCATAATATAATTCATATCTTCCACTTTTTCAGCCGTTTGGCCTCCGTATTTATCAATATTTTAAGAACATGTTGTCATTCCTACATTTAGAGCGTCAATTAACTAATCCCTTATGTTGGATAAGCCCTTCCATAAAAGGATACAGGAGTGACATGCCCGACTGCAGTCATTTGGAGAATCAATGACAGATTGAGAAGCAATTTACCACTATACCTATTGTCATTCCAAAAGTGCCATCAAGTCTTTCGGCGGGTATGGCGGTAAGTGGTAAACGATAGGTATTGCAATTCGTCAGAAAGACGGCGCTGAAATAGGTAGCTCAATAAACTGACCTAGTGCATTTTGTCCTGTCGTTTTTAGTTTCTAAAAACGATTTTGCAGGGCTTATTCGAAAGTGGGTCTCAGCCTTAGGTAACCGAACATTGGTATCAGCGAAGCGCTTTGCAAGTGCTTCATTAGTACGTGGGGTGAATGAAAAGTTTTGAGCCTAACACAGTTACAGGTGACGCAGGCTAATGAAAATTTAGTCACACATTTTGCCACTATTTTTAGGTGTGTACACCAAGTTTTGAAGTCCTTGTCCTTTTCGTTTCGTTTTTAGAGCCCGTTAAAGTGAAGAAGATTACGCGTTCGGTGAAAAGGGAGAAAATCGAGAACCGAACTTTTATAAAGTATTGCGATTTCAAAGCGATGCCTTCATCTGAACTTAATAAGGACCTGAAATTAAACTTATTGGTTGTGGCCCATCATATGGCACTGTTAAGGTTTGAGCTGCTAATTTCAAGCAGGGCAGGAACAGCGTCCAAAATGAACAAATCTCAAAAACGCCGTAGAATGTGACAAAATCCGAAAACATTGACCCTGCTCTAGGGGTGTGGATGCTGGATCCAAGAATGTGAGATCATCAGATAGCGGTAAGAATGGACATCTCCCATGAGCAAGCTGGCGACATTCTTACCAATGGGCATGACATGAGAAAGGTCTCTGCTCATTGGGCCTCTCGGCTTTTTGCTGCAGAGCACGACGAGAGATGTGTAATGACATTTGGCGCTAGTTCAAGCAGATTCTGAGAATTCAAAGTTACTTTTCGCTACCGATGATAAACTGTGGGTGTTTCACTTCAATCCAGCATGGGAAGAACAGTGGAGTCAGTGAAAGAACGTCTCTACTCTAATCTGAAAAATTAAATGTCAGAGTCACAACAAGGAGGAAAGTGTTCCGTAACTCGGAAAATAAATGAGAGGTCTTGCAAGTGCACTTTTTTCAAAGGGTCTTACTGTAATTGGGCATTACTAGGATGAACCAATGATACATCTTTGTTAGAAAATCAGGAAGATCAGAAGGGCAATGCTGACAAAATTGGTCGTGTTTCACCAAGACAATAAATCAGGGTATTTTTCACTGGTTGCAATGTAAACAATCAATTACTGAGTCTTCCAATGTATCCCTCATTTAATCTTTTAACCAGCATTGGCATCCGTAGGGTGTCTATTTCTTTCTAAGCCTAAAGAAAAAACTGACTGGATGACGCTTCACAAAAAATAATGACGTCATTTACACCGCGAGCACTTACCCAAAATAGCATGATTCAAGGCGCTAAAAAAGTGAGGAAAAAAGTGCTAGGACTTCACAATTTGGTGTCCATCCATATCAATAGTGGCAAAATATGTGACCAAAGTTTCATTAATCTGCGTCACCTGTAACTATGTTAGGCTCAAAACTTTTCATTCACCCTACGTATGATATTGATTACTGTTGCAACATGTTAATTCCAAAACATGCTCGAGAGGAGACGGTTAACTACCGCAGTCGGGCAGACGGTGGGGTTGGAAGCATGCATGGTTCTGTTCCCCTGTCGGTGGTAGATACCAGCCTAGGGTGTCGGTGGAGCGCGAGGAAGCGAGCCCGCCCGCCGGCCGCCGGTGGTCGCCGCTCGGCCGCCACTCGCGCTACCGGTGCCGACCAGGGACGGCGGCGGGGCTCGGCCCTCCAGAGTCGCCGGCGCGTCCTCCTTCCTCTCAGCTGGCTGTCGGCGCTGGCAGCGGCCGCGGCTCCGCGTCTTCTGGCCGGCCTCAGCGCAGCAGTCGGCCGATCATTAGCCTCAGAGTCGACCTTCTGGTCGCTCCTAATTCCTTCCGTCTTTGCCACATACTTTGTTCACAGCCAGCGCCTTTTTGTGTCTACGGATCCCAAGTCTGAATCCTTTTTTCTGACAGGAGAGCTAACTAATTGCGTGAAGAAAACTCGGGAATGTGATTGGATAAACGGTCAGTGTAGATACACCATTGCTAAATAACTGGTATCAAGGAATACCAATTAGTTAGCAATGGTTTTATCATGTCCCTATTGAATGGTGTCCCTCTTGCCCCTATTGATGTCCTACCCTTGATTCGTGAATCTAAAGGATAGCTGAAGAGACCTAGTAACTTTGACTCTGGACCTTGTCTTACGTAGCTGTGAACTGGGCAAACCCTCTGGCGCCTTTCCTACCAAACTCCAAAGACAAACCTTCCCGTTGTCGATTGCTGCACACTTGCTACGCTGTAATACAGAGAAAAGCACGACATGGGTTAACAGGTACGGAGGACCTACGGCCGACCTCGGCAGTCGGTGCGAGACGCACCCGTGGGCCCTCTAGACGGGTGCCCGCTCCGGGTCCCCGCAGCACGTCCAACCCTACGCAGCACTCAGTCAAGGCATGCAATGACCTCTATCGATGCAAGGCATGCAATGCATCGCCTATCCTAGCTAACCCACAAACGACCGATGAAGCGAAGCTAGACTTCGAAGCGGGAACACACCATCGGGTTTGTATAGGTAGTGGTGCTGGACCAGCACGTCTCTGTCACCTCTGGGGTGACGAGTCCGTTGCTGGTCGCTTCGTAAAAATAGGAAACAGGATCGATTGCTTTGGGGAGGCTCTTACCTTTAAACTGTTTAAAGAATATGTTTATTAAGCAAGAAGTGCTTGCTCATGTCTTTTGCTTAATAGAAGAGTCCTTTTGATAAAAAAAATTGAAGTTACGTCCTTGCAAACTGGGCATTAATAGATGAATTACGTCAGTAGTTGCTGTTAATGTAGCTTTATTTTTATCTTTTATTTAGTGGCTAACGAAGGTCATCTATCGAGTCGTTTGCGGTGACTACTCTACAATTCCGGGGGCGTCGGAGTGTCCCTCTCTGCCCTGAGTGCCGCGGGTGCGGGGAGGGTCCTGGGTGGTGTGGCGCGGCCGTCCGCACGGACCCACTCACCGAGAAGGCTCTGGTGTTCGGGAGAGACTTCCACCCCGTCCGCCTCCAGCTGCGGCAACAGCACGGCCGAGAAGGCCATCACAATGCCGATCTCGAGCTGCGTGAGACCGGCCAGCAGCGTGCCCACGTACTGAAACGGCAGGAATCATACTAAAACGGCAAGAAATCGTACCGCGCAATGGGCGCAAAATGACCTCGCAGTCGGCGTGCCCCTGACCCCCAACAAACAAACAAACAAATCGTACCGCGGAAACTGCCTGAAATCGTACTGAAACGGCAAGAAATCGAAGTGAAATGGTAGTGAATCGTTGCATCGTACTGAAACGGCAGAGAATCGTAGACCAGAATACCAGGGGGCGTCTTTGCATACTGCAGGGGATTTCAGCCCTGCATTCCCACCTCAGAGGCGGTCCGTCCCCTCACGACTGACCTACCTGCGGCCACTGGCGGAGCTGGATGGTGCCCAGGTAGCCGGCCACGTCGATCACCGTGTGGGCGCTCTTCTCCATGGCTGACTGACTGCTGTGGGTCGGGGAGCAGCGGGTGGGGCTGGTCTGGGTCTCGGTGTGCCGCCGGCGCCGCCCGGGGGCCGCTATATACCCCCACGGACGGCCGGACGGCGCGTGACACCGCATTGGCACCTGGCGTCGCTCGGAGAAAACTGAACAGTGGGACCCTCTGAGGCCGGGGCTGCTCGGGGAGCTCGGCACAGCTGCATCTCTGTGTGTATCTGTGTGCCGTGTGGATGCGGGTGGATACACAGGCCGCAGCAAACCCCAAGACGAGATCAAGGTGTGGACACTGGACGGGGCGGGCTGTTGGCCCCGATGTTGACCGTTGACCTCGATTTATTAATCGTATCTGTGACTGATATCTTGGAAGACTGACCGGATTTGCATGCTTTTGGATATGTTATCTCCTATTTTATAACGAATCTCATTTTCAGTCTTGAATAGCATTTAGCCAGTAGCCAGGGGCGAAGCGAAAACTCAATTTTGAGAGAAACCCACAATACATTTTTGATACCCACGGCGGGATGGTGCTACTTTCCAATTGCTTCACGTCGATGCCCGATGGGGTGGGGGACGACATTTTCGCCCGCCTCTTTTCCCTTCTAAACGACTGTTCTCCGTGCTTGTCTTGGCGACTACGGCATTTGTTAATTATTTTGTGGCGCTACCAATTGGAAAGATAATGTCTACTTCTTTTGTTGGCATTCCATGAAATAGGGACATGCGGAGAACATAGAGAGGCAGAGAGGGGGAGATAAAAGCCGAATCGGTGTTCGTATTTCACTTGTAACCGCAAAACAATGAATAAAAGATAGGAGATGGCGCCCATGACCTCCACACTCTTACTTGGAGGCCAATAAAGTCAGAGGGTGTTTATAAAACTTGTATTTAAAATCACTGTCACTATGAAGTGCTTCTCATCATATCTGTTACAACAGCTCTCTAATGCCCCACAGTCACTCGGCCAACCCTCGGCTGGCAGACTGACGCGTACAGACGCCAGTGCCTCTGAGACCAGAACAACACACTGACCATTGACCGATCTCACAATAATGCCCGGAATGCATGGCTCAGTTCCCCTCCCTCGCGGCTGGAGGTTGTGCATCTGGTTTCTGACGTCGGAAACCTCGGATCCCGTCCGTCTTCAAACGCGATTCCGGCTCCGGTTCGGCTCCGTCTCCAGACGACTCCTGCTCCGCTCCGCTCCTGCTCCTGTCTCGCTGACCATGTTCTCCCGTTCCGCTCCCGCGGCTACTCAGCAGCCGGTGGGGCGGCAGGTCACTCCCGTGGAGGTACACCGGCACTCGGTGCACTTGTCCGATAGTTCAGAGACCACCGTGTTCAGTCGGTACATGCGGCCGAAGATGTTACACCCGGACAGCTTCAGCGCACCTGGCGTGGGCAGACACAGGGGTCAGGTGGTGGGTACCGTGGGGGAGGGGGCGATATGACAGTGAGATTGTTTTTGTGTGGGACATGACTTCAGAAATGAAACTCTGTTTCAAACGCTGTTTAAGTTTTTAAAGTTGGCAATCGGTACCACTACGGACATAGACTTTTGTATGATCTCACGCACGCATAAAGTCATGTGACGCTTGCCTGTGATGCTGGCTACACGATTTCCCGTTCTCCTGAGGAGTTTCACTTACCGAACAGGGAGAACGGGTCGCCTCCCGTGGCGAGGTCGTTGGTCTCCTCGATGGGCGGCGGAGTCGGCCTCTTTGTTGGCCGCGGCAGCGGAGGCCTCTTCACGCGCTCCTCCGGCGGCGGCAGCGGCTCCTTGGTCGTCGGCTGCGGCGGCGGCGGCCTCCTGGTGACCCTCTCGGTGGTCGGCGGGGTCCGTCTGGTGGTTGGTGTCTCCGGGGCGGGTGTCTCTGTGACCCGCGGGGTGGACGGCGGAGGCGGCTCGGTGGTGACCGGCGGGGCCGTGGTCCGCGGCGGCGGGGTAGTCTCCGGCGCCGGTCGTGGCCTCGGTCGGGGCCGCGGTCGCGGTCGGTACCGGGTGCGGTCGGGCCGACCGAACAGCGGCAGGATCGGCCGTCGGGACGGCTTGTCGCCTACCAGCGGCGCCGTGTCGCCCGCGGGCAGCGCGGCCGCCGTCCCGCCGCCGCGCGTGAACGCCAGGCTGTCGAGCGCCGTCTCCGTCCGGCTCGACTCGGTGGTGGTGGTGCTGGCAGAGGCCAGGGCGTCCGCCAGCCGCGCCGGCTTCGGGCGGATGCGGCGCCGGCCGGGCGGCAGCAGCGGCGGCGCCGCCGTGGTAGCGAACACGTACCTTCTTGTCGTAAACACTGAGTCGCTGGCGGTGAACACCGGGTCCCTGGTAGCGAACACCGGGTCTCTGGTGGTGATCACAGGCTCTCTTGTAGCCACGGGCTCTCGTGTAGCGAACACCGGCTTCCTGGTAGTAATCACGGGCTTCCTAGTAGGAAACACGGGCTCCCTGGTGGTAGGCACTGGAGGAGCGGCGCCCGCCAGCTCCGCCACCGGGCCGAGAGCTTCATCCACCGACTCCGTCACCTCCTCAGCTGTGGAACGTCGACAGGTGGAACAGCGTGAATGGACGGAACGATACAAGACAAGCTAACTCAACCTGAGTGACAATTAACGGCACTGTGGTCATGTCAGTCGCCAATCATTGCATTCCAGGAGTTTAACTGAACAAATGCAGCATTAACAAGACTACGCCGCTCTGTGTGACAGCGGTCCTCCCGCTCTTCTTCCACCCTGAACACCGAGCCTGCGATGCCCCCGTAGCGCTCACTCACCGCAGATGATCTGCGGGCAGCAGAAGCCGCGCCGTGTCCTCGCTCGGCAGCCGGCTGGCACCGGCGGACACTCGGTGTTCTGGCAGAGCACCCGTCCGCGGTAGCAGCGACAGGTGCGGCAGGGCTGCTCGGGCCGGTACACCAGCTCTCCGTGCCGGTACAGCCGCTCCTCCACGCGGCACCAGTCTGGGAAGGCGCGGAGAGCGACTGGTCAGTCGTTGGGTGAAAACAATTTGTGCTACATAGCGGTTGGTCCCTGTCCCGTTCACTCCATTGCCTGGCGGTGCAGTTGGTCTTGTCCCTCACCTGGTGGCGCGCGGGTGTCCTGCTGAGCTGGCGGGTCGGCGGCAGTCAGACCGAACCGGCTGCTCAGACTCTCCGCCGACAGCTCCTCGGGGTAGCGGTTCACCACGGCGTCCGCCGCCACGAACGGGATGATCCTGGGAGACCGGCGGATACAGACGGTCAGCGCTACGGCGCAAACGTTTGTCTGGGACGTAACTCAAGACCCTTGTCGATGCGTTATAAGCAAAGTGTGTGCACTTGTAAAATCTCAAACACACTAGCAGGCTGAGTCAGTTTGCTGGAGATTGATAGGATGGATATCAAAAGGGGACTCGCAAGAGCTCAAAGTATGCATCTGTAACATATGGCAGGCAGTAGTTCTCACCTGAGGTTTGGGCATTGCTCACCTGAGGTTGGGCAGTGCCGGCGGCAGCTCGTGTTCCTCAAACTCGGTGTTTTGCAGCACGTCCAGAGCCAGCCGCTCCTTAGGCGTTGTTGGCACCGGCCGAAGTGTGGTGGTTGGTGCCGTCCGCGGGGTTGTGCTAGGTGCAGGCCGGGGTGATTTGGTTGGCACGGGAGCTGAAGATGTAGCCGGCGCCGCCTCAGTGTTCACTACGGGCCTCCCTGGAGGTGCAACCTCAGCCTCCGGGAGGGATTCCTTGCCATCCGTCTCAGTGCGCCGAATGGGACTCTGTTCTGATCCGGGCTCCGCAGAGACCGGGGAAGAACTGTGATGGCCCGTCCCCTCATGACCTGACCCTGTCAGCGGTTGCTCCGAGTGTTCAGAGCCGGTCGTCTCTGACGAGGTTCCTGCTAACGGCGACTGAGTGGGTCTTACCGTCGGGACCGGCACGGGTGTGGGTGCCAGGGTGGTCCGCAGAGGTGCCCGCGGCGGGATCCGGGTGGGAAGGCTGGAGACGGGCCGCCGCCCGGTGAGCAGGTCCAGGATCGAGAGGAAGCCGAGCGGCCGCAGCGGCCGCCGGGTGGTGGTGCTCGGGGTCGGGGGCGTGGTCGGCTCCGTGGAGGGCTCGGTGGGTTCTGACGGGTCAGACGGGACGCTGTCGTCGCCGGTGTCGCTACCCTCGGTCATACCGCCCGCGTCGCTGTTTTCCCTTGTTTTCATATTCTGGTCGGGCATTTCCGACCCAGCAGCTTCTGAGTCTGGACTTGTCTCGGCAGTATCTTCGGGTTGAAGTTGTTCTTGTTCACCTTTAGCATCAGGGTTTGACTCGGGAGCTACTTCAACTGCTCCAGCAGAGCCGGTGTCTTCCTCAGTAGCAGACGCAGACTGAGACTCGACCGCTGCGTCAGACGGAACGTCGGCGTCGGGTGTCAGTTCCGTCGTCTCGGGGTCCATCGCCGACTGGGGTGTCGGCTCTGCTGCTGTTTTGGTCTCTTGTTTAGCCTTATTCTGGTGTTCTGATGAGGATTCTGACTCTGGCTTAGATGCTGGCTTTGATTTTGTTTCTTCGCCCGTTCCTGAAGATGTTGCAGATTCGGTTACATCCTGTGGTTCCGTTCCTGAGTTCACTTCAGACTTCATCTCCGCTTCCATTTGAGAAATAGACTCACTCATGGGCTTTGATTGTGGTTCTGGCTCAGGCATTTTGTCTACATTTGTTTCGAGTGTAATATCTGTTCTTGACTCCAATGTTGGCGTGGACTCAGGACCTGACTCAAGATCAGGTACTGGTTCTGACTTCGACCCCAATGTAGCCTCGGTCTTGGACTTTGAGTCGGCCTTTGACTCTGACTGTGATGCAAGGGCAGGCTCCGGTTCTTTCTCAGGTATGAGCTCCGGCGTAGACTGGAGCTCTGGCTCAGCGTTGGCCATAGGTGTCACTGTCTCAGGCTTTGGTTCTGATTTGACTTCGGGTTCTGGGCTAGATGATGGCTCTGGTTCTGACTCGGGTTCTGGATTCGGTTCATATTCATCATCGGGGTCGTATTCTGATTTGGAATGGGACACATGATCCTGATCTGGTTGAGCTGCAGGCTCTGTTTCAGGCTCTGACTCAGGTTCCGATGCATGGTCTGGTTCAGGTTCCGATACTGGTTCTGGTTCAGGTTCGGACGTGGCCTCTGGTTCAGTTTCCGCCGGATTTCCTGGTTCAGACTCCAAGGCAGGCTCGGACTCAGGTTCTGGCTCGTGCACGGACGCGGACTCTGGTTCAGCGCCTTTATGAACTTCTTGCATCACTTTTTCGCTAGTATCGTTAGCCTCGATCTTCGCTTCGCCGCTCTCTACAGAAGCGTGCTTTTCCACCTTGATTTTCATATGCTCCTCGGGCATCAGTTTTTCTTCTACAAGTATTTCCTCCTGCGCTATCTTGCCACCGGAAACAGATGAAGAATGATGTTCTGCTTCATCCTGCTCTGCGCCGCTACCCTCAACATGATCTGGTGCTGCAGAGACTGCTTTTTCTGCTGAGCTGATGGCGACAGGCAGCATCTCGTCAGAGTCCGCCGGACCGACCTCTGGGTCGTCGAAGGACGTTCCCTCCAACATCTGACTGCCCGTCTCTGGCGCCGCCGCCTGCTCCGGCAGTTGCTCGGATCCCGGCTCGTCCACGATGGTCTGAACCGCAGACTGGCGGGACTCGATCTCACTCAGCACCGCCTTCATGATGTTGGTGACGGTGAGCTCGGGCCGCGGCGGACCGACCAGTCCGGAGCCCTCCACGTCGTCCTTCTGCTGCGCGGCCGCCAGCGCGTCCTCGATCCGCCGCTCGTCCTCCGAGTCGGCCAGGATGGGAATCACGTGCCCGGAGAACCCGGCGAACGCCCCGGTCATCATCACCGGCCCACTGAGCGGCGCTACCGCAGGTGCCGGGTCGGCGGCTACGTCCTCAGCGGAAAGGGTAAGGGCGGAGGGCGTGTTCTCCGCCGCCGGGATCGAGTCAGCAGGTAAGTCCTCCATTGGTGAGTCCTCTACGTCAGTCGCGTCACCGGACCCCTCCTCCACGTCCACCATATCGCCTGCCGTGGTCTTCTCTGCTTCTGTCTCTTCGGAAACGGCCAGTGTACCCGGGTCGGCCTCGTCAGCTGACATTGCGTTAGCCACGTCAACCTGTTGACCCGCCGGGTCCGCCGTCTCAGCCGCCGGCAGATCGTCGACTCGCAGCTGCCGTCGCCGACTGGCGATCTCGTTACCGGAGAGGACCAGGTCCCTGGCGGTGAGGAGGCCCGTGTCGTGCCGATCGAACCAGGGCGGCAGCCGCTGGCCGCCCGACACCTTGATACCGGGGCTCTTTACACTGAGACGGAAGGTGACGGGCGCCGACCACTGCGGGGCCGGGGCCCGGGCCGGGCGCACCGAGCCGTAGTCGACGGCGACCACCGAGCCCACCCCGACCGCCTCCTCCTGTGGGGAAGGAGAATAGCTGCCGTCAGTCAGGGTATGACGGCTTCACTTAGTCCGGGCGGTGTTAGGAACAGGGCCAGATAAATGTATGGAAGCAGCCTTGTAACAACCACCTGGTGATTCGAATTGCTGTTAGCACACTGAAACATATATGAAGCGGGATGCCTCGCAAATTGATGTACCTAAGTTGTCATTTTAATACAAGCTGACAGGACGTTGATACGGACGTTGGATGCATATTGTTTACGGCGTGTCACAGAACTCACCGCCGGTGCTGGGTTCGCTGAGCGAGCGAAACTGACCGGACGGCCAGTGTCAGCCTCCTCAGCTTCCGCCGTCTGCAGACACAGGGGCACGGGTCAGCGTCCGTAGTCACCAAGGAATCAGGCACACAGGGACACAAGACTTGTGACTAGGGAGGAAGGCCGTCTATCCTAAATATTGGTTAGCTGTAGATTCTGCAGCTGTTTTAACTTCACACACCACATGTACCGTTTACAGATGCAGAGGTGAATGAACTCATATGTTCATTGTATAGGGTGGCATGCGTATTGTCCGTCTTGTCGGAAACTTATATTTTGATTATTTCAAAGCGTAGCTCATTGGCTGTTGATGCTGACGGTCTGTGTCGTCGTGGCAGCTCGCCGGGTGAACAAAGGCCCGGCTACTGCGCACCGGGGCCGATGTTTTCGTCAGGCGACCTGCGCCTGATCAGAGGGATGTCGCTGTCCCCACACCGTGACTCGGCATCCCGCTCAATGGCAACACCAAATAAATCCGGATATTTCCGGCTGGGAGGGCGGCCGCGGGCCCGGCCGGCCGCGGTCAATGTTTTCTAGGACTGGCTCGGAGGTCAGGTATGATATCTGAGTCTGTGGCGCGATTACAATTCATCCGGCCCGGTAACGGAGTGCGGATGGAAAAATACTCCACCCTGTACGGACGCCGGACGCTATGCCTCAGCACACGGGCCAGGTTACGTCATGAATTGACAGGGGCTCCAGCCCAGAATGGACTGTCCTTATCAATAAATGTCCGCTGTTCTTGGTAAGTAACGACTGATCACGGAACAGCTCCCCGTAAAAAACGGTATTGTTTCCTTCGCTCTCTGACATTGTTTCCTGGCAATCTACATCACACTGGTGTGAGTGACACTATTCTTAATTGCCATTACTGATTACTCTTAAAAAAAAACGTTTGATCTTGATCAATTTTAAGTGCATAAGTTATCAACAAAAGAGCTCACAGACTTCGCAACATCGCGATTAGCACTGGGTCAATCATTTCACCCCCTCCCCCTTCCAACAAAATTTGGTTGTGTCGGCGCATCCCAATTCCTACCTGTGCCAGTGAATCGGTGACGTCCTCGTCTTCTATATCCTCATCCAAGTCCTCCTGATCCAGGGTCGTGCGGGCCACCAGACCGGCGTCTGGCAGGCTGGCCGCTGGAAATAGACGAAAAACGTTCAGTTTTACATCCTCAATACGGAGAGCGTTTGTTCTCTTCCAAGCCAGGCTTGGAGCAATCAGTTCCTCTATCATAAGACGACGGTGGTAACAAAATAGAATATTCAGATGAGTTATCACCAAGAGCTCTGCTTTTGCTTGAATTGTGAGCTCATTAAATCAACATGGACTTTCAAGGCCCGCCCGCTATTCCCGATCAGGGCATTGCGGCACAGTCTGAATCTAGGCGCCGACGTGCCTGCCATCTAGTGGCGGAATAATAACCTACCCGCCGGCCCACGCCGCACACCGCGCGCTAGTGAGCGGGCGCTGTGGCCTTTGCCAGCCGTCAGGCGCTACTCACAGCAGTTGTAGGAGACGGGGCAGCACTTTCCGGGCTCCATGATGGGCGCGCAGCCCTCCAGAGCCGGCGAGCACTGGACGGGGGCGCAGCGGACTTGGCCTCGGAGACAGAAACAGGAGCGGCACGGCCGGGCCAGGTCCGTTACCCGAGAGCCCTCCGGGTACGTCCGGCCGCGCATGGTGCAGTCTGAGAATGGAGGGAAGATAGCGTTATTGGAATCAACTGATCCATGTCGATCAACTGAAAAGAGATGAGGTCGAAAAACAACTCCGTGACGTTGATCCGTGGTCGCTCCATACGGACAGAATGAATCGGTGGCAGCCGTAAACATTACTATGCATTGCATATTTTTCGAATTCCATAACATTTATGAAATAGAATGGACGAAAAAATTGCCTTCCTTTATTTTGTTCGTCCTCTCTTACTAAACTGCACCAGATCAGCTGGAATGTGAAAACATCCATTACCTCGTGACGGTTTCTCGGTGGTGGTTGTTGTGGTGGTGGTTGTAGTCGTAGTAGCCGACTCTGAAAAAATATAGGAACGTGGTGTTCATCAATGCCAAACAACTTTCATTGGGCTTATAGCCCCACCCAACTAGATACGGATTGGTTGACAGTTACAGACAAATTCGTCTGCTGAATAAGAAATTGACCATGACCGCAGACAGTCCTTCCACTATTATTCTATTGCAAGGACTAGTTTTTTATCTCCAAATTTTGAGCCATTATCTTTTTCCATATTGGATATCTTTTCGTTCAACTTCCGTTCGCATTGCAGATACAGGTAAGTGCTAAAATCAGGTTGCTGGTACAATATCAGTAGCGGTGATGAGGTTTTAATATGGTTACTGGTTAGTTTAAGTATACAAGCAATGCCAGACACGAGTTTTGTGTACATATTTACACCAAACAGCACATGCGTACGTCGTCAACGTAGTTTGTTGCGAAGTATGCTATTCGTGTGCCATATACTAGAGACATAATGCACAAGTTGCATCCAGCAATGCACAAAAACTACGTTCCTTATCGGCCATCCCGGCTGTTTGTGAGCCGTATGTGGCTGCTGTCCGCCTGTCTGTCAGCTCAGGTCAGGTCCGGTCAGACTGGGTCCCTCCTTACTGCAGTCGTAGTCGGTGGGGCAGCAGGTGCCCAGCGCCCGGTAGCGCGGCCGGCAGCCCTCCTCCCGCAGCGTACAGCGCGGCTGGACGCAGCGCTGCCGGCCGCGGATACAGAAGCAGTACTGGCACCGCGACGAGGTCAGCATCGCCGAGCCGTCGGCGTACACGGTACCGGCCACCGTGCAGCTGCCTGTCGTACGGGCCCAGTACGGTCAGACGAACGGACCCTCACAGAGGACCCGGCGGATCCAGGGACACCGTAGTGAGTCCCGCGGACCCACCGAGACCGTTAGGTGGCGCCACCGGAGCCGGCGGTGCCACAGCGCCACTGAGGTCTGCAATTGGCCGGTGGCCGGGATGGGATAGGTGAACCGGCGTCCATCGCCGATTGCTGTTGGGACAGGACTCACTGTACAAGGATGCGACGCGAATGTTAACGAGCAGTCTATAAACAACGTTAGTGGCAAGTTACACACATAGCACAGCTTTACATCTGTGAGGGTTGAGACATGCAGGGAAGACAAACAATGCCTGACATTCCAACAAAAACAGCGTGTTAGCATGGGCTTAGCTTGGAACATCATGCCATTAGCATTATGCTACACCTTGCCGTGACGTTATGAGTAAGTGCTTTCTGTTCAGCCGAGTCAATTAGTTGAGCCCGTCGGTGGGTGCGCCGCTCTCACCATCTCCGCCCTGGAGGTCGGCTAGCCCGGTGGAGTTGCCCAGCTGGAGCTCGGCGGCCAGCTCCGCCACCTCTGCCGACGGCAGGTCGTCCCGCCGCTGGTCTCGGCGCACGGTGTTGATGTCGTGGTCTGGGGCGCAGGGGTGAGGTGGGTGTGAGGGTCGATATGCTAGATGAAGCTAGCTTCTCAACGTTTTTTATGACGAACACCCATTCTGAAGTATATTTCTGAAGTTCTGCAACATCTAGTTTTTCGCCCTGATGACAACCTGTAAAGCACCGGCTCTTCGTTCATGGGCGATACATAAGGTTGAAGATACGATAAACCTAAATAGCTGTGAGTGGCAGACTGACTCACCGCAGATGAGCTCGGAGCAGCAGCGGCCGTTCCTGGTAACCAGGAAACAGCCGGCCGGCGGCGGCACCGGGTACGTGGGACACACGCGCAGGTGGCACGTGATGGTCAGAGAGACCGGGTGGCACGTGCAGTTGAGACACGGCTCCGTCGACTTGATACTGGCGCCGGGGGCGTGCAGCTGACCGCCGTACGTGCAGCCGGCTGAGGGTGCGGGCAGAGGGGTCGTCGGGGAACAGTGGAAGCCACGCGCCCGTTCCCTTCTCCTCACCTCCCCACACACTCCATCGAGAGCGGCCGGCCCTTCGAACAGTTCCCCGGACCACCCTCCCATTTGTTTGCTGCTCTGGAGTGGTGGGTCGCTGGCCATTAGGTTGAATCGTGGACCGGTCGGTGACGGTTTTATGGGCCGTGAAACGGGCCGACGGCCCATCAGCCGACCCCGTCTGTCTCACTGGCCGGGATAGGACAGAGCGGAGTGGCACCCGTCCGGGAGACCAAATGAACTGGGGGCCCGGTCCCAACACACGGTCAACTGGGGCTCGGAATAACGAAAACGGGGCAAGTCCGACAGGACCTCAAGACTATTTGTTTATTTGTTTATTTGTAATTATCACCAACAGAGAAGTTCTCCACTAACAGGTGAAGTCAGGGAAATAAAATGCATCAACACAAACAACGGTGTGAGGGAACCGCACGAGTATGAACATTCATTCAGACTGAAAACAAAAGCCACAGTTAAAAGTATGAATATGAGAATGAAGGTAAGAGTGAGAATACGTGTATAAGTGAATATGAAAGTAAAAAGAAAGAAAAAAACTTGGATATAAAAAACTACAATAACCACCACAATAAAACCATCAGATGAGCTCAACAGCGAGTGTGACATGAGCAATGAGATGACTATGTTTATAAAACATGATGGATCAAACGAGCCCTAAAAACTCCAAAGCTGTCAGAGAAGATGTCTGCGCTCGCATTACTTACCAAAAAGGCGTTCATGTGTTTTGGGATCCTGCAGAACATCTATGTTCTGGGTGGCGCCTAAACGTAAGTCGTACCGACAGATAAACTTTCCTGCTGGGCAGACCTGATAACTGAAGCAGCATTGTTGACAAAGCTTATAGCATTGGACGCGCTTAACTTCTGGACAATCTCGTCCCAAAGACCTCAGCATCCTGCCACATACAAACTGGCTTACCGATTGACGTAAGAGAAGCAGGTACCTGACGAGTGAGCAGTTATGATGCCAGTTGTGATGCTGATATACGAAGTAAAGATCTAACTAAGTATGAACGCTACGAGCTGTTTTCACCTTTCCGCCTGGTGAGCAGCGCTGCCAGGTTCGAGGAGCGGTCACTCTCCTCGGATTCGTCCACATCCCCGTCCGCCTGGTCCACTAGCTCGTCCACCACGTCACCAGTCGCGGAGCTGATTACCACGGCGTCGGCAGGGTCGGCGGCCGCCTCCACGGTGACATTGGCCACCTCCCCACCTGGAGTCGGGAAGATAACATCACGTCATTCACGGTGTATTTTAGCGTGGGAGGGGCGCGTCGGGCGGGCGCTGTGACTAGGATGACCCGGTACTTTTCCAATGAATGAGGGCCACCCGGCGGGGACCGGTCACGCTTCATTCATAGCGGAACTCTCGCCCACTCGACTGAGATCGGCCGGAGGTGGACGGTGGAGGGAGGGGGGAGGATGGGAGCGCGATGGAGGCTTGTGTCTGGCGTTGGACGACGGTATGTGAGGTGGGCTTGCCGGTTGAGAGTCAAACGTTAGGAGGGTGCGTGTTTGGTTTGATGGGCGTGATATAGTACACGCATGGAGTAGGTATGTAGCATGTGGTCTGAAATTGTACGGTCACGGTGCGGTGCAGTCAAGTTGTACGGACTTCCACCCAATCGTTCCCCTTTCCGAACAAGTCTGAAACGAGTTGGTACGCTGCCTTCTGCTATGGCAGAGCTCACCCAGTGTGCACCAGGGAGGTCCAGGGCGAGGCCAGGGGTGAGATGAAGAGTTACCTACTGATTAGCTGTCTGCTGCTCCGCAGTCTACACTGCTGTCAACGGTAGTAATTTTATCTGCAGCGATGATCCAGGCGCTCGGGCGAGCTGCAACAAGCAGCTAATGTTCCTTCATCCAACCCAGTTGCTGGAACTCAGTTCGCTTATAGGCTGATGATTGTATGGTTTCGAATACCTATTTGGTAAAATTTATCACAATTACCAGGTAATTGGCATGGGCCGTTAGGGCGTTTAACGCACATCGTAAATTTCATATAAACACCCGGGGAGACTAACTTCATGGAAATGAAGTGCGTGCAACCTGTCGACCCTCTCCAGTTTTTGCAGAGAAGCCCGCTGTAGTAATTGCAAGAACCTCCTGGCCTCCGACGCAAAGTGAGTGGCCCTATCAGTTTACGTCTGCACTGCCCCAGCTCCCCTCGGCCGGGGCGGCGCACACGGTCTGTTTGCAGGTCGTTCCTTTGTCCGCCCCGTGTGGGCGTTTTTCCCATGGACGACCAGCCAAGGTCAGTGATGCGGTGGGCCAGGCGGGCGCCTCCCCTCCGACGGAGGAAGACGCACCCGGCGCCGCCTCCCCCGCGCCCCTCCCCGCCGACCGCGGCCCCTCCCCGCCGCCGACTGCCGGCCCCTCCCCGGCCGCCGACTGCCGGCCCACAGCACACACCCTACCCAGTACCCACAGGACCGCCGCGCGCCGGGGCGGTGCCGAACTCACCGCCCACCCGGCGAGTGTTTTTGTCCGACAATGTAAAATAGGGCAATATTTTTAGGGCGGCCTCTCAAAGGAAGGCATCGTTTCCCGAGAAAACAAGCGAGGTAGCTTCATTAATATTCCGTCGCACTAGCCACCCAGCGACAGCTGGACACCGAAATGCTGACTTTTGTGGTCTCATGACCTTTTTTGGTCTCGCTGGCTGTGTGCCGAGTGTGTTGCCGAGCATGTTTTTTTGCAGATAAGTAGGAAGATAAGTTCCAGGTAAGCCGATGCTCTAGAAAATCAATGGTAAGAACTGCGCACTATCCGTAGTTCTATCTATTCAGTCGCACATCAGTGAACCTCCTTTTTGCTGTCTAGTGACGTGGTTCCGGTCAGAGCCAGCCGTTCACTAGTTATGCACGCTGCCGTTAATCCAAGAGGCTGTGGGGCCGGCAGAGCGGCACGCCGACGGCCGACCGGTCGCGGCGGTGACCCCGGCAGTGTGTCACCGTCGCGGTGGCCGCCGAGCAGAGCCTGTGGACCGGCACCGATCTGACCGCCGAGCAGAGCCTGTGGACGCTACCTGACCGCCGAGCAGAGCCTGTGGACGGTATCTGACCGCCGAGCAGAGCCTGTGGACGGTATATGACCGCCGAGCAGAGCCTGTGGACGGTACCTGACCGCCGAGCAGAGCCTGTGGACGGTACCTGACCGCCGAGCAGAGCCTGTGGACGGTATATGACCGCCGAGCAGAGCCTGTGGACGGTATATGACCGCCGAGCACAGCCTGTGGACGGTATCTGACCGCCGAACAGAGCCTGTGGACGGTACCTGACCGCCGAGCAGAGCCTGTGGACGGTACCTGACCGCCGAGCAGAGCCTGTGGACGGTACCTGACCGCCGAGCAGAGCCTGTGGACGGTACCTGACCGCCGAGCAGAGCCTGTGGACGGTATCTGACCGCCGAGCAGAGCCTGTGGACGGTATCTTACCGCCGAGCACAGCCTGTGGACGGCACCCGACCGCCGACCGACGGTCTAGCTCGACAGTGAGCGGCCGACCGGCACATATCGTAACTCATGAGACTAGCAATACCGACCGACTGAGCTCAACAAGAGCGATATAACACGGCTGAGTGAGTTTGACGATAACGACATCGTGTATCACTGGTGGCCACCAAAAACTAACAGCAGTAGACCGCTAATGACAGGGTTTGGTCTCTCACTACCACTAAACATCCCTCGAGTGTACTCGAGTGGCTGTAACGACCGAGCTGACAATGGTCAATGGCGCTCGAGTGTCATCTGAAGCCGCTGCCGCTGCACACTGAGAGCCCTCCATGACTGGCAGGTTTATAATGGCCCGCCGCTGCTCGTAAGACGCTCTCCTGACGAGTCCGCTTTGTCCGCGGTAATTGTGACACTGTGGGTGTCTGAGCGCGGCTCACAGCTGTTGGGTCTGGTCAGGTGCTGGAGATAGCCTCCGATCGGGACAGGGCGCGGCAGATGGCCCACGGCCCGCAGCCATCCGCCAGTCATCCCGTTCCCAGCATCCTCGGCCGCGTCGCCTCGTACGGCTGTTGACTCGTCAGGAAACGCACTGTCATCCATCCCCAGTCAATGACTTCCCATCCATTGGTTGTACATTGAGTGTATTCGTGCGTGAGAAACTCGATAATGTCGCCTGTTTTTCCGACACGGCCCATCGTTATCAGCGTTTTCGACCAGTCAAGTTTTCATTCATTTGAGATCAAATCAGTATCTGAGCCCAATGCTTCGACGTTGAACGATTAAAATGCCTTTCAGCCACTGAATACCCAACTCAGGGGAACCACCTTATGAATATTTGCACACACTGATGAAAACATTTTATGAGATTCATCAGGCCGGCTGGATGATTCTCATGAAATGCAAGTATCCTGATGCAACTATCTGTTGAAAGCCAATTTTTCTTGTACGTAACACAAATGCTGGAGACTGCAACAGCGCACACCTCAGTAGCACATGGAAACTAGAGGCTGCAGGGCGACACAAGAAGGTATCCCTATTAGATGGAATTTAAACTGACCACTTGTCCATGTCAAGTGACTTGTAACATTTTACTGTTGAAAGGTAAGAAATAAGTCGGTGATTATTTTCTCGGAGATCTCGGAATACACCTACGAATGAAATTTTGTGCACGTCATTATTACGCCAGCCTTTCCTCACGCTTTCCACGTGTTGATCGCCGACCCCACCTAGATCCACGGTGCGATTAGATAACAGAAAATGAATGGTTACTGCGTGAGATGAGTGAGATGAGTGCCAACTGTTCACTATCCAAACGCTTGGTATCAGATTATCAGCACACGGGGGGCCAGGGCAGGCGGGGCTGGCCAGTGACCTATCCGAGGTGCGCTCAGTCTTGTCGGTACATCGGTGGCAGTCTGTGCGTGCCGCGCGTACTGTGGGGTGTCCACCGAGCCGGAGACAACGGCACGTCATTAGCATGATCGGCGGCGCGTGTATCTGCGGGGCGCCCACCTCTGAGTCGCGGTCATCGCCCCCTGAGCGGCCGGGTCAGCCGGGGGCCCGGAGGCTCACTGCCGGCTCTCCACTCACCTGTCTGCGCCGTGAGGACGGGCCCGGGCCGGCCGGCCAGCACGGCCACCCCGGCCCACAGCAGCGCGAGCAGCCGCAGCGCTCCCGGTGCGGCCATGACCGCCGCTGCAGCACAGGTGCCGGCCGCGGCGACCGACGGCGCCGGTCAGCCCGCGCCGCCGCCCGGCCGGCACTCAGCGCAGCCGGCCGCCGCCGCCGGCAGAGCTGAGACACCGCGCCGGGACCGGCCGCAGCTGCACTGAATCCGCGCCGTCGGCCGGAGAGCGTTACCCCTCGGAGACGATTCAGATTGGCACGGGATGCGGCCGGCCGGCGGAAGTGCCGGCCAACTCTCAGCCAGGGGCCGCCTCTGCGGGATGACCCACCCGGTAACTGCGAATGGCTGGTCAGAGCGAGCCGCCGGTGTATCATCTCAATACAATCGTCATCAGAGAGATCGGGCTCATCCTCGTGACAATGGGGTTGCACACGGGGTCAATGACTCCATCATGTACCATCTAGAACATTCTAGGTTATCCCGTGGTCTGAAAGACGTTTTTGACATGCCTTTCATGTCACAGAGAAGTTCTGAAATCCTTATTGCACGCCGGATACACGTTGGAGTCGTAAACGAATGTTTAGTACCACTAGCTAGTATCAGCTAGGTCACACCGTAATACGGTGAAGAGGGACTGGCCGTCGTACACATGTGAGGATGACTATCCTCCATAGGCTCAGTTTCTAGCATCAAATCACTCTACTTCACTTCAATACATGACTTCAGAGCGAGAATCTGAGCAAATAGATGCCAGACAGGCGCGTGCAATATGACCGTCATCGTGGTATGAACGCGTGGAAACCGCAATATCATGCGTACAACGGTATCGCCGACACGGTTTGAAAACTGGAAGATTGCACCAATGCATGCAACGGTAACAAGGTCAGGGACTGTTGCGTCGGTCATTGTACGGGTACAGCAGAATCCGTAGTGTCCCGTGTAGCGCCATCAGACCGCGGCAATGGTAGCTTCAGCCTGTGGGAGTGTGGTCAATGGTCATTGTTCGGAGACTGCAACAATTCATGTGACGAAAACATCAGATAAGAGACTATGCAGTGGCTCATGTACCTAACAACATAATCACAATTTAGACTGCAACGTTTTATAAAACGATAACATCGGACTGGCGAATAATCCTTCAACACTGTATGGAGAGTGGAGACTGTCGTACTTCACGTGAGAAGAGCACCAGGTGGGAGACTTCAACGGATAGTGTGCCAATAACACCGGGCTTCCGCCAATACCATTGAGGGGAGACTGTGACAGATCATATAGCAATAACACCAGACTGACAGGTCAACCAGCCCTGTATGGAGACGGCAGCGGCTGTCATGGTAGCACCATATTCACATGAGCTGATCGGAGACTTCAATGGCCCGTAGGGTAATAACACCGGGCTGACTCATTCACTGTCCTCGTATCACAAACTGCACGGGGGCTGCAACCGCTACTAATGTGACGAAAACATCAGACGGGAGACTGCGACGACTCATGTGATACGAACCCCCAGTCCAGCGCTATCGGCCGTAACACGTTATGGAGAGTTCAACGGCTCTTGGACTGCCACCAGACTGGTTGGACCGACCATAACTCCTTACGGAGACATCGGTGGCTCATATGGCAATAGGACCGGATTTACAGAGTCCAGACATTTTATTATGGAGACTGCAACGGTGCATGTGTCAATAACACTGAAAGGGCTCAGGTGGCCCTTGTCGTTTACAGATGCTTGGACGAATGATAAAAGAATTCAGCTTAAAGTTCGATGACTTATAGGACATGCGTATACATACATTGGCAGTCGGCAGATGATGGGTGAGTAAATTTATCGCCACGAACTGTTTGACGAATCTGTTCTCATTGTGTTGCCATTTAATTTATTTCAGAGTCTTGTCAACCTTCTAATGTTTTTATTTTCATTGCCATCGAAGGTATTTTTAGCTGAAGAATCATCACAGCCGGATGAGCATACATTCTAGCTAGATAATCATTTCACAGGTAACCATGCAGGCCTTGTCATCCCAATTCCCAACTTTTACAAGCCCCCATCGCGTCACCGTGTCCCATGTATTGACGCCGGACGAATATGTCCACTGACGCTCTGTCAGAGCGGCGGCAGTGTCCGAGTTCGGTGGAGTCTGTCTCCGATCGACCGGTGACGCGGCGGAAGACAATGTCCGAGAACAGTTAGGTAGGCGGTCCGCGGTCGGAGACGCTGTGGGCACAGAGACGGATCGGCGACCGCTCTGAATGTAACGAGCTCTCCATTCATCACCTTCCGCCGCTCAGCTATCAGCTGTGGAGGGCGAGCATCTGCTTCCATCAGCGCCGCGGCTCCCACACACCGAATATGGACGGATCGGCTCCCGTTGTCGTCAGGGGAACTGTGAGCCGGGCGGCAGGCTACGACCCTGGTCCGGGGCTGTTCGAATTATGGGGGTACTGCCAATATGGGGTTCGGCACTCGACACCATACCGCGACTGTTTTCACGTCATTAAAATGATAGATAATATTCTCACTTTATCAAAACGCCTAAACATCTGCAACCTGCAATCGTCTATTTTACGTCTAACTTTACAATTAGATGATTCGTCTAGCTCCGTCACGGGATATCTATGTGTTCACTCCTCAGCGTTCATAATACCTGTTACAGTTCAAATTACGGTGTGATTCCCAAAGCTCCCTGTCCACTGTTCCCGGTACCGACGGCTCGTCTTTCCGTATCTGCGGGCGCTGGTCTGCCGTCGGCGCGCTGGCCGTCCGTGACGCTCCGTGACTCACCGTGACGTTCCGTGACGCGCCGTATCGTGGCCGGGGTCCGTGACGGCGCCAGGTGGTGCCGTGTGACCGGAGCGCCGCTCCCGGTGGTGATGGGGACTGCACGCGCCGCTGAGCGAGGCCGGCCAGGGGCACACAGGGAGGATGGCTGAACATGATCGGGGCACTCCGGGAGGATGGCCGCGCCCGGACGGCCGGGGACACAGGATGGCGCTGGAGCACTGGGCGAGGCGTGGGAGATGTTACGGGGTCGGGTTACTCATACAGTGTCCGCTGGGCCTGACCAAAGAAGATGCGCTGAGTCCTAGCCATGTACAGACGTAAGGGCACTGACTCTGCCGATGAAAGACGTATATCGACCTGATTAGCTGGTTCATCAGCTGACCTGATCGTGCACAGAAATGCCAACTGACCTGAGGGTTCACGACTAACTATCTCCATTCTCCACCGTCCAGCTGGTCCTGTTGGCCGGTCAGCCTGACCTTTCGCTGTCCAGCCTGCTCTGTTGATCGGTCAGCCGCCCAGACCGCTGTCTCTGTTGATCGGTCAGCCGCCCAGACCGCTGTTGGCGCTCCGCTCTGTTGCCCGGCTGTTCACTGACCTCTGGTATATAGTCACGGAGTTCCGGTCCGCTGCTCGTAACACCGGACAGCCAAACTGTCCCTCCTATGGTTGTTATTCGGCTAATTTTATTTGATGTCTTCATCTAACCGTAAAGTTCCCACAACATCACAATCTTGAAAAGCCAGATTCATTAATATTTTATTTATCGAATGAATGACGACAGACATGAATGGCATAGAAACAAAGTGGTGCATCGCTGGTATTTATTGCGAGATGTGAATGGAGAGGGTCTACCGTGAACAGTAGCTCTGAACAGCCTTAAAAAGTCTAATCTCTCGCAACTTTTAATCCGACTGGTCAGACCAACAAGGTGGGAAGCAAATGAAAGAAACGCTTATGGGTACTTTTTAACTATAGCTTCAATGTAGTTACACACATCTGCTTTTGTGGATGAACGCATGTAGATATGTGTTGTATGTAGGCATAATTCATATATGCATGTGCCATTGCTTGCCTGTTTGAGATGTTGATAATTGCATGAATACTTATAAGCGTGCACCACTGAGCTGAACTATTCTAAAACGATTCGGAAACAAATTGAGCAATCCGATTCTCTCGACCGACATGGTCGTCTTGTCTAGGCGTTACAAGTCTATAGGCGGCGTCCAAACGCCCCTGTTCAGATGACCCCGTGGCTGTGACGACTAGCTGCAGCGGATGGCGACACTCGTCCGAATCGGAAAACTGAACCGCGGTGCCCTATACTATCAGTAATATCAGTGAGGTGATGTGCCCGCGCACCGCCCCAGTCTCTGCCTCAGACCACAGGTCACGAAAGGACAGTGGGACAATGAAGCGCGCGACAGGATGGCACACAGTCCTTACAATAAATACACGCACCTTTTGAACATGCCCTCTGCGCGCGGAGCGGAGCCACCTCAGACTGCAGGCCTGCACCCACTGGCCACCGGGGCCCCGTAATGCCTCGTCCTCTGCGGCAGCCTCCGACAGTCCTCGGGCGCGCCCGGCCACACAGACACACGTACAGTCAGTCACACAGACAGTCCTCACCCTCTGACAGTTCCTGTCCAACACTGTCAGACCGTCCTGCCACACTGTTCGCCACGTCTGACACTCCGAACCTGACGGGACGTTTCACTCAGTCCTTTCAGACGGCACACGACATTACCCAAAGCGTGAAGCTTGACGTTTCGCACAACTTTACTCTCATTCTGCACAGATCCATGAGACATTTAGCCAGCATCATGCTTAGTCCGCAGCAGGAGCACCACGCTCGCAACAGAATCAGTCTCGCACCCGCAGTAGCTTCAGCACCGATATGGTCAGCGATAATCAGGCTCACACGAACCGTGCCTGTCTGTTTAGCGCGATGTTGGGCGCCCCTCTTTTCTGATAGGTGGCTTCTCCAGGGCTAGTGGAGCAGCACGGAGCGTCCCCACGGAGTCGTCCTTCCTCCCTATACGGGTTTCGTGGCGTGAGCTGCCCGTGGGCCTCTTCCCTGCCCGACTCGACTCAGTGGTGTGTCCTTTCAACACTCATCAGCGACGTCCCGCGTCCCCTCAGAAGTGGATGGACACGAACGGCGAGCTCCTGCCGTGGCCCTCCTCTCCGTCCCCGGAGCCGGTCTCCTCCAGGAAGACGACGCCGCTGCCCTCGGCCTCGATGACGGGCGTGTCGGCGGTGATGGCCGACAGCAGGCCCTCGTCCATCAGGGCGTCCAGCACCGTCTGCTGCACCAGGTCGTGCAGCTCGTCAGACGCAGACGGGCCCAGGTCGAAGATCAGCGTGCCCTTGGTGCCGACCTCCTCGGCGGCGGGGTCGGCCGGCGTGCCGCCGGAGCCCTCGGTGGCGGACTCTGGCGCTGCGCCGCCCTGCTCCGCTGCGGCCTCGGGACTCTGCTCCTCCGTCTGGGGCGTCACGGTGCCCTCAGAGGCCGAGGAGTCAGTGCTGCTCGCCTCCGTCTCCGTCACAGCCGGGGAGGCAGAGGTTCCCTCCTCGGCCGACTCGGCGGTCACACCGGCAGGGGAGCCGACCTCGCCGGCCGCCGACTTCAGCACCTCAGCCTCTCCCTCGGCCGCCTTCTCCAGCTCGGTGTGACTGTCCTCCAGCTCCGCTCCTGGCGCCTCATGTTCCTCCTCATCCTGTTCCTCCTGCTCCTCCTCCTGTGACCGCTCGGCGTCCTGGGACCGGCCCGTCCGCGCCGGCAGCGGTCCCATCTCGGAGCTGACCGATGTGGTCACCGTGGTGATCTCCACTGAGGTAGAGGTGGCCACGGAGACCTGGACATCGTCCGAGCGCCGGCCGAGCCGACCGTCCGCCTCCTGCGCGGCGGCGGGGGAGGGCGCCAGGCCCGGCCAGACCAGCGACGCTGAGAACGGAAACACAGGCCAAGTGTCAGATATCTGTCAAATCTTATAAGCATATATTGTACCTTTCATGCAATACACGATATAATGCTGAACTATTTGCGTGTGTTCTGTTGAATGACTGCGCGAATTATGTTATTTTTATCCAAAAGTTTTGATCGCCGTCGGTTTGTTTTGTCTGCACTCTACGCATTCATCACGGCAAAACTTCTACCGCATAATGGGCGGTGCAGCTCTCAGCAGTGGGAACTAGCGCCGCACCCGAGCAAGCCGGGCCGTTGTGAGGGGCTTATGGACAGTGTCATAGTGTAAATGGGGTTGTCGATTTACGGTTTGGGTGTCAGACTGCAAATGAGTGTGCGTTGTGAGACTGTTCGAGAAGGGAAGGGAACGGGTCAGGTGGGCGATCTGTTCCGTCGCCGAACCGAGAATACTAGGCTGTGCCTGGAACCGTCAGGCTACAGCAGACACGTCTGTCCGTCGCCGCCGTGCCCAGCCCCGGTCCCCTCGGCGGCGATTCAGGAGCGCCGTGAGGTGGCCGGCCTGCCTCGGTGCGGTCTGTGCGGTCCCAGCCAGGCGCGGCGAGCCGTGACCGGCGCACTGCGCTCCGCCGCCCGGCCATCGACCTGTCGGCGGCCCGCGCAGCGCGCTCCGAGCGGATCTCACCTGCCGACTGCTGGTCCTCGGTCGGCGACGCGCCCGCCGCCTGCTGGCCGGTCGGCGCTGTCAAAGTACAGAGAAATCCCGTCAGGGGGCAGCACTGCAGATGGTTCTACGTTTACAGCAGCCGTTTACCTCCTCTTGGTGAATGGGGAGCTATTTAAGCTTTATAAATTTATCATCCTACAGATCAGCTTCCCAGCACCATTACTGACAGCCACAGTCGTTTTTATCACGACCAACGGAGAGCTCATCTCAGTCCAACTAGACCCTCTTCCCAAAAAGCAGCTTTCCACGTTAACCTTTATTGCTCGGCTTGGATGCCTAGTTGGATACTCCAATAGCATACCAGTGGAAGTTCGCAACGCCCTTGCTTCCCGCCCATTTTTTCACACCTCATTTTGTACAAGGTTTTACCGGGACTGAAACCACAGGCCTATACCTACGACTTCGCCGGGTCCGTGGCCTCATATAATGAAATACTTATGTTATTGTTTCAAGGCTCCATGTAACCGTGCTACAATAAATAATTGTGCTCCAGAAAAGGGTGTTATCATCATGATAGTGCCCATCGTTATGTCGATATATCAATAGGTACATCATGTGTGTTTGGACATGTTCGACCATAATTGGTGATTACGGCCATTAATCGTGGGTACACGGGTTAGCCAAGGTCTTCAGATTCGCACGATGCCCAATAATAACTTCAACTGGTGGTTTCGCTCAATTACGACGCGGCAGCAAGTCAGGCTCCTGCGGAGGCCTTGCTGGCCGACACACCCACAGTATTGAATCGGCCTTTGGCCACTGAAGTGATGTGACATTTGACCACGACATTAAAGGCACTGGAAAGTCACGAATCCATAATTGTTTAGTATGAAAACGCACGGCATCAAGTTAAATCTCAGAACCGAAAAGACATACATGTATGTCCTGGGAGCATGCTGCTCACATTCTTTACGAATGTGCAAGTGTGGACAGAATCTATTGACATCTTTCACGGGTGCGTTGATTGCGTTATTTACCTGCGGTCGCGGTAGCCACCACCGCCAACAGTCCGAGTACCCGGAGACACGACATCGTCCCGCGAGCAGAGAGAGAGCGTCGACACGGGACAGGCGAGCAGCTGGAAACGAGCGGACACAGGGTCAGACAGCTGGAAACGAGCGGACACAGGGTCAGACACCGGCTCCGTGCTGAGCGGGTAGCGCTGCCGACTCCCACCGGCAGAGGCTCCCTCCCTCACCATCCGGCTGAAAAGACGGAGCCTCCCACCAGTGGATGTAACAGTGTAAATGTACACGTAAGCATACATGTAAACAATGGAGCTTCCGTCTCAGGACCCGCCAGTGGGCTCTCCCATCCCGGCTGAGGACCGTCCTTGGCGAAGGCCGGGCCGACAGAGCACATCACTTCCGCCCCAAGAACAACCGCGCCTTGGCTTGAAGCAGAGCGCTATAGGCGCTGCACACAATTATATATGTGTGCCCATTGCCCAATATTGTTGCACGGCTATTATACCTAATGTTAAGTAGCTTAATTTTCACATTGCTCGCCATGTGACGGCCCGACAGGGCTAAGTCTGAAACACCGTTGACTGTTCCGGAATGGTATTGGCTTAAATTGAAATCGTGACTTGAGAAAAAAGCATGTATTTTAAAAGAACACGCCCATAGTTTATTTGAATATGGTCACAATATACATAGCTAGGAAATCGTAATCCGCATGATTACGTACATCCGTGTTTTAACTTCATGCCTAAACTCACAATTATTTATGCTTTCAGAATTCGCCCTCATCAGACATTGGCGCTACTGAGCCAATCAGAACCGGCATGGGCCAGGGACGGATCGACCAAATCGATGTTATGCCCATTTCCATTAACCTTCGGTTCCAGGGACGCCGGCCACTAACTTTTGCCAATCACCATAACTTCAGGCTGCGTTTCTATTCGCGTCCGGACAGCGTCCCGCGCCCAGTTTCAGAATACATAGTCGGAATGACGCACGTCACACACGACTGAACGACTATGGACCGAGGCAAAGAACTCTGATTGGTCACGCATGGCGCAGGCACGAAATAATCGTTATCCATTAATAAACTAAAAGTTAACGATTAGCCAGCCTTTATGAGGATATTTGTCTTCATGACGGTATCGATTTGTAAGAAGTTTCTTGGTTGGTACGTGCTCACTTCTTACATACTCACTGAAAACAATTTAACCCAAGGCCCGCGAGTAAACCGGTGTTTTGCGGGTACCCCTATCCGCAACCATTTTTAACCCGCGCCCCACTGGGGGGGGCTATTTATAGCCCCCCTCCCGTTTTTCTGCAATAACTTCCAAACCGCTTGACGGATCGACGCCAAACTTTCAGTACCTTCGGCTGCATCAATTTGACACCTTGTGTCAAAATTTGAACTTCGTAGCTACCATAGGTCGGCCGGAAATGACGTCAGAGTGACGTCATGTTCGTCCGATTTCGACGCAAAACATTGAACCACGGCAATCGCTCCCAAGAGCTCAGTTTTTAAGCTAGATCCACTTTCTTTGCATGAAAGGACTCAGAATTGACCGCGCTATCAACCTGCTATCTCGGATTTTCAAAATTTTGAAATTTCGAAAATTTTATATAATAATATTCAAAATTTATGTTTTTATATTTTTTTCAAAAAGTTTTTGACTTTTCGAAAAAAACCGGAATATATGTGACAGAACGCATGATTATCACTAACTCTAGCAAGTTTTAGCTAAATATCTTCAAAAATGGCCAAGTTATACGCATTATTGCAAAAAAATTCACAATTATTAATTTTTCAAATCAATTTTTCAGTACGTATTTGACATCGTACACCAATATAAATGGCACCATCGTGTTCCTGAGCTCAAACTGCATCCAATAGACACATTTTTTGTTGAAAAATTTTAACTTCAAAATTTGACCTTTTTTGACCTGAAAGTGACCTGACCTAAGCTAAATTCGACTCAAAATGACCTCGAATGACACAGACGACACAAATTCGAAATCTATGGCCTAAATGGACCATAAAACATGTGTCACGTGACCGACGCATGGTATAATATTTTCGTGACCTGTGATGACCTGACCCTGACCTGAAAATCAAAGTACAAGCTTGGTACCCTCAAGGTATCTAGAGAATCTGCTCACGAGTGTGGAAACCAAAAATGAGCCTGATCTGACTTGTAAGACGGCGGCCAGAGCCCAAAATGTGAACAAGCCAAAATGCCAATAATTTTTACTTTGACCTGACCTGTGACGTCATCGGTGACCTCGAGGTCAATGAAATTAGGTTTCGCTCGACAGTTTTTCCGGGGCTATCAGACGCCGTTTGAATTTTGACGATCGGCCCAGTAGTTTCGGAGTTAGGAGGGGGGGGGGGGGGCTATGAATAGCCCCCCCCCCCCCCCCAGTAGGGCGTGTTATACACAGACCCCAGTGGGGCGCGGGTTAACCACCCTCCCAGGAGTACAGTAAGGTCCCATTGGAGTGTAGTCGTCCCTGCTCTCAGCGGACTTGTTCGCTGACAGCGGTTATATCCGCTCAGAGCAAGTACGACTACACCGCAATGGGACCTAGCACTACTCCTGAGAGGGTGGTTAAAAATGGTTGCGGATAGGGGTACCCGTAAAACACCGGTTTACTCACCAGCCTTGGGTTAAATTGTTTTCAGTGCTGTCACTATTAAACCTTTTACTTATTCAACCAAATACGATGTACTATTGTTAACATGGCGAATCGATAAGACGCCTCCAATCATGGAAGACACCCATGGTCCCGCGGGCTTTACATGATTGATGGTCCCACAGGAGCCAGCTGATTCCTTATCGCCCTATTGGGCTCACGCAGCTGATGGCTGACTGCCAATTTCTTTCGGTAAACAGATTGGTGAATTAATTGCTGAGCGGTTATCTCTACTTAATGGACGACATAAGCACACCAACTGGCTGCTCGTATCACTAGAGCCTCTTCTCTTCTGACCAAATTCCGCCAAGGTGAGTGCAATGTTCGTGGCCTGTTAGCTGACTGTTCTATCAGGGGCGATCCGGCCATGTACTCCTTGGAAATGAGTTACCGACTCACTAATGTCACAAGTTCACCGACACCCCGACACCATGGGAAAGCTAAAATTCACTAACCAAAGTATTCGCTGCCAATGTCTACTCTTTAATATTTGATGGCCGCAAGTGATGTATCTACGAGTATGTTTTAAGTACGGTCCGAAAGGGTAACCGCAAGCCGACAGTTGTATAGCTGCTGCCTGTAGGGCGGGCTTCCTAACGTGTTTGCAGCCTTTTTATCTGAGAGAGGACATGCATGTGGAAATGCAGCCTAGGCATAAAAATTAATTCCTTATCTAATCCAGAATCCTTCCAGCCATAAGCCGGTGACGAGTATCTATCTTATCTTGTAGAGTTGTTATCACGCACTTTTTTACAACTATTGAATCATGAATGTTTTGCATTGCCCGTAACAACGTAGCTATGTAGCGGAATCCCCCGAACGCATCGCGTCACTCAAACATCCCCGAGCCTCTACCACATTACGTTCGTTGCTGCTGTGATTTAGCGACGAATAAATTGTTCCAGACAGGCAGCTATAATTCCAGTTTCATGGCAGGAACTTCCCTGATTTCAGCAGAAGGCTTTCAGTTGGGGCAGTAGCAGGCTTTTGTTGGCTGCTGCATTAGCGTAATACTGGGCGTGGTCGGTGTAATTCACTTAATCAAACGGAAATGTGCACCCATTTTAACTAGAAGAGTGTAAGATCAAACAGTAATGAAACTGATGACGATAGCGTAACAACACAAATAATTTGTGTTTGCTGATTATCTATAGGTTTGTATTTTTCTACTCGCCGATTCCATTGAGCTGCTCCGGATCCCCGTATCCCTGTACGCCTTCCCGGGTCAACTGCGTCGCTCCGGGCGAGGTCACGGAACCGGGCGGGGCGGGGGAGGGGAAAGGTCGCGTGCTGCCTGATCCGTGGGCGGAGGGGGGGGGGGATCGCGTGTGCCGTCCCGATATCATCGCTGCACGGCGGTGTGGCCCGCAGACATCCGACATCAGCCATGAGGCGGGGGCCGGCAACGACCGCGCCCTGCACAGTGTGCACCTCCGCTGAGCCTCCTTCGTTATGGAAACTCCCATCGTTATGGGCATTGCTCACGTTATGGGGGCCCGTTGTTATGGGAAGTCCCGTCGCCAGCACCGCTGAGAGGACCCCTCCGCCGTGGACTTGATAGACAAGACATCAAGGAGTCGTGTGTACCGGACCGGGAAAAGATCCCACCCGACCGAAGCTGAGCGATCTGAGATCCAGGATCGAGGGTCTCTGCCGCCAACTCAACATACAGTCACGGGGATACTGTGAGAGACTGGCAGACTGAACTTCCCACGCCGGCAGACAGACTGTCTGTGAGTCTGACGCCCCTCTGACGTCACTGCCGGTCAGTGCACGGCCACGTGGCGCTCTGGTGCTGGCGGCGGCGGTAGCACCTTGGTGGGACCTCCGCCGGCGCCGGTAGGCGGAGGGCGACAGCACCCGTCGGGAAGGACCCGTTCCGAGAGGCCACGCAAGGTCAGCGGCGTGCTGGGACAGCGTGCGGCGCGGTGACGCCGCCGGACAGACGGACAGACGGACAGACGGCACGCGCAGCCGGAAATGGGAGGACCTCGCCGCCGGCGGGGCCGTTCGAGGCCGTCCGAGGCGCGTAGGACGGATACGGGGACCGACGACGGTCAAAGGTGGACGGGGTCGAGTCGTCAGTCAGTGGCTAGTGGGCCTACTGCGTCATAAACGACATCCGGGGACCGAAGAAGATCCCCTCAGCACACTGATAATTACATTTTCACTGCGATCAGGACATTAGTAAAGAACAAAAGGTATTTTATTTGTCAGATTCAGTTGAGCCTCCCGAATTTCGTACGTCCGTTCGAGGCCGACCGGCAGTAGACAGGCCGCGGGGGCACTCATGGGAAGGGGGCAGCCCAGGTGGGCATGAGTACCGGCCACCGAGGACCCATTATTTATGGGCCGGTCGGGAGGGCCTTGGGCCGGCTTTTGCCCAAATACGCCGGCTGCGCTACCGGCGTTGGCGGAGCCTCCG